CTTAACAGTTCAAGCCATGACCTTCGGTTCATAGGGGCTATTCTGTCTCTGCAGTAATGAACAAGGAAATGGGCTCTGCTAAACCTCAGAAAAGATGGTTGAGAGCCTCCCGTATTACCCTCCAAGCTTGGCATGTCGATACATTTCAAAAAATCGGAAACTCTTGTTGGGCTTTCATAGCGGTTCATTGGAAATCCTTAGCCTCTCTTCCCCTTGGTTCCATTCAACTTCTAGTTGAAACTCTCATTTCATCCTTAAACTATAGCTTTCTTTGGGTTGAAATTGACGGCATGTTCTTTCGAATCTCGCTGGCCTGGTCTCCCCCGTCTCCTCCATCCCCTCGCCATGTCCAGGACTACATGAAATTTTGCACCATACTCCTAAGGCTTACTATCCTCATGTGGATAGGGATGGTTAGACCACAGTTCGCCACAAAAGAAACAATTGTGGATGTAAACTCAATTGTGGAAGGCATCTAAACCATCCACCACTCAACAATAGGGCCCTCTCAAAGGACCACAACATCAAGAGGGGAGAGGAGCACCCCCATCCATCATGCACTTTGGGACACGTGTCACCCTTCCTTGCCCTGGCCATCCTATTGACGCCACATCATGCTTGGCTTGTGCATGAACCATCCTTCTTCAAATCACCTGTTGACACGTGCCCCTCCCCATCTGACTAAAGATACAAGATCTCCATCACACGCTTCGTCACTTCCTTTTTTTACTTCCTTGGACATCACTCAACCTCTACCTATAACCAACTATCATGTGTGCTTGGCCCATGTGTATGAACTATCCTCCTCAAATCACCTGCTGACTAAAGATGAAAGCACACCATCACACACTAACCCACTTCCTTTATCTACTTCCTTGGAAACCACTCAACCTTTGCCTACCCCGGCTGTCACGCTTCCCCAACTCCTTTTTCTACTTCCTTGGACATCACTCAACCTATACCCAACTATCACGAATGCCCCTTGCCAACTCCCCCCATGTGACCTTGCCCCCACATTCCCTGGCATCACATAAGCACCACCTCTAGGGCTGCCCAACAGCTTTTCGCAACGGACTGTCTCTGCTTCCCCTCTCTTCTCGTCCCCTCCGCCCTCAACCTCCAACCCAATCTCTCTTTTGTCCCTCCCTTTTACTCCCTCTCAGAACCTCATCTTTCCTCTATAGCTCGTCACCCTTCTTCATCTACCTCCCTTAATCCCATGCTACCCCCAATCCCCTATGTTCATCTCTCCCATTTGCTCTTGTCTCCCTCTTCAATGACCTCACCTCCCCATCTCCCTACACTTCACCTCAATCTACACATTGGCCTTTCCTCCCCTGTTCTTTCTATTCCAGGCAGCCCCTCCAACCCTTCTTCAATGACCCCGCTTTCTCCATCCTTCACCTTGGATCATCTTTTGGAGCTGCAAAGCTACCACCAAACCCTCAATTACCTTTCATGATCAGATGAAGATGGCCATAAATTCCACCTTATTTCTTGGGCCAAGGAGTGCCTTCCCAACTCGTGCGGTGGTCTTGGCATTCGCAGTTTAAGAGCCACCAATCTGGCCATGTTAGGCAAATGGTGGTGGCATTATGCCACGCAACCTAATCACTTGTGGAGAGAGGTTATCTTTTGTAAATATTGTCGTCAAGACCATAAGTAGCTACCCTCTATCTGATCTATAGGCAACATTTCAGGATTTTGAAGGTCTATCCAACTTTGCCGCAGCCTTTTTCTACAAGGGATCCGGTAACGTCCAAGGTAAGGCAATATTATCTCTTCCTGGCAAGATATTTCGATTGGTGACAGCCCTCTTAAAGAATCCTTCTTTCCCACTCCAGCTTACACTTAATCCCAATTCAATTGTGACTAACTGCTTTGCCACCCATGGGAACAGTAGAACTTGGAACCCCAATTTCAAACGAGCGCTTAATGATCAAGAGCTAGCACATTTATCGGAAGTCTTTGCCCTTTAACACTGTTTTTCTTCCGTTGCAATGGAAAGATAAAATCATTTGGTCCCCTGCCCCGTCAAGGATTTTCTCAGTCGCCTCCCTCTACCGAACCATCTGCACAATTTCTCCTAAACTTAATGCTGCCCCGCCCATAATGGCCAAAGCCTGGATCCCCTCCATCCTTCCTAAGACCCAAGTATTATGCGGGATTACTCTTTATGAAAGGGCCCTAACCCCTGACCAGTCACAAAGGAGAGGCCTATCCCTTCCTAATAGATGTGTTATGTGCCTCTTGGCCTAGGAGATTAATGCCCATCTTATCATCCATTGCGAGGTCGCAGCTGCCCTTTGGACCTATGTACTCAACTTTTTCAAGTGGCAGTGGATCACCCCTGAGTCCATTCCTCAGCTCTTTTCCACCTATTTGTGTACTCCCTGGAACAATTCTGGATACTTCCTATGGAGGGCCTCCATTGCTGCCATTTTATGGACTATTTGGCTAGAAAGAAATAGCAGAATCTTTACGGGAAAGCTGCTGCTATTCCCTCCGTAAGTGATAAATACCGCTCCTAAAATCTCATTCTGGGCAAGCAACCACAAGCTCATAAAAAATTACTCCTTTGTTCACCAATTTCACAACTGCTATGAACTATTACATCTGCATGCTCCTTTTTGTGTACTCCCTGGAACAATTCTGGATACTTCCTATGGAGGGCCTCCATTGCTGCCATTTTATGGACTATTTGGCTAGAAAGAAATAGCAGAATCTTTAGGGGGAAGCTGCTTCTATTCCCTCCGTAATTGACAAATACCGCTCCTTAAATCTCATTCTGGGCAAGCAACCACAAGCTCATAAAAAATTACTCCTTTGCTCACCAATTTCACAACTGTTATGAACTATTACATCTGCATGCTCCTAGGATCTCATTATTGTGGAGACCAGCCGACTCTGGGCAAACCAAACTAAACTTCTATGGTTGCTTTATTGGCAACCCGGGCCCCTTTGGGATAGGGGGCATCTTCCTTAACTCAGAGGGCTCCTCCCTCTTTTCTTGCTCCTTGCATGTTGGAACCACGAACTCACCCACTATGAAGGCCAAGGCCTTGGTCGAAGGGCTCCAAAGATTTGACCCTACATGGAACACTGAACGGCTAGTAGAAAGTGACTCCAGCAACATTATTTCTTGCACCTTTGGGGCTGCTTCTTGGCCCTAGAGGCTAGAACCCATCTTCAACGAAATTTCTCAGATTTCAAGCACGGTGAGGGTACCCTTGAACCATGTTTTTTGGGAAGCTAATGAGACAGTGGACTCTCTAGCTAGGGAAGGAGCTAACCTAAACTCTACTACTGGATCGGTGGGCTTTCTTTAAGCCTGCACTCCCCTCCTTTATCCTCTTGTGAATCTGATGTAGAGCTTTTTGTACCCTTTGGGGTTTTGTTACAAGGCACCCATCTCTTGGGTTACCTATTTTTTGCATACACCCTTAACTGTACCCTCTTCTTGATATCAATACAATTGTCAACTTATTCAAAAAATGCAAGGAATCATGATAAAAATGCCAACCACATCCATACATGCTCCTATGTTGCCCCGATCATGACGTGTACGAGCCAGCAAAAAGAATACGCCACAGTGTCAACTTGGAAGAGACTGAATACGTAGCTTCTTCCAAGGCTGCCAAGATAATATTACCTATCGAAGCATGTTATTTAGAACTTGTGGTTGGACAATTGGATCCTTAACTGATAAATAGGCAGCAATTTTCAATCATAACACAAAGAAATCTTTTCAATCTGAAGTGCAAGGAAGCAGATACAATTCAATTATGAATGTTACTCATAAGGGTAAACTCGAGTTATTCATGTACTCCCTCCAAAGGTGGTCACTGATCCTCTCAAAAAGCTTTGGCATCTAGCTTTGATTAGACATTCTCATGAGAGGCTTCATCCAGTTATTAGTTCTACGTAGGTTTTCTCCCTAGTATGTGATAAAGCCCTGTGACAAAATCATTTATCAGAACTTCCTTAAGGTAGGCTTCTAAGTTAACCTATCCTTATCCATCATTGAATTAACCTTGAGGAACTAGGAAGGGTACATAGCAACAACTAGAAACCCGTCCATTTATTGAATCTCTCCAAAATGCTAGCCTTAGTTGGGAAGGAAGTAATCCTTCTCAACAAAAAGTACCCAAGTTGAATATGTAGCTGAACATAAGATAATACACGGTTCAACAAGAACAAGTGTGAAAGGTCCTCCATCTGAATGAGCTTAATGTTCCAGGGGTACTAATGAGTTATAAATTATTGGTTCATCAACGCATTGCACGAGAATTTTTCTCAGGGAGACTATTATTTTACGTGGAGAATTTTTGTGGAAGTTGGATAATGAATGCTTTTGCACACCTTTACGTGATTTGCATTCACCTACTCAATGCACCCTTAAATGATTTATCAACAGTTATAACTACTCATGATGAAAGAAAACGTCCGAACCCTATCTCTTCATCAACTTCTGGAATATTTCCCATAAGACTGGTTAATTGAAGCATGGTACACAATATTGCAGTCTGATTCAGGAGATGCGATAACATGAACTTGTGAATTCTAATTGCTAATTAAGGGTAAACAAACAGGAATTAACTATAATAAGTATCACAAATCCTTTTCTCTTCCTCTTGCTTTCAATCAGAAAAGTACTATAAATTCTGCTAGGGCTACTAGACCAAAAATCGAGCAACGAACAGACATCCATAGACTCCACAAGAAAAGCCCTTGAGCGCTAGACCATCTCCGTATACACCCGACAAGGCCACAATTTCCAATGGAAGGAAGAATTAGCATAAAAGGAGGAGCAATTCAACAATTCAATAGGCAGACACATCCATGGAAAACATTCTTGCTTGGGATTCATCCATCGACAAATATCCACTAAAAACTTATACAAGCATTCAAGATAAGACAGCTTGATCTCATAAAAAACACAGCACAAACATAGAAGAAAAATGCAACTTATAAAAAAGAAAACTAGAAAAAATAAGTACCTTCTTCTGGGATAATCGCTGCAGCTTGGGGATTTCCTCAAGCAATCGGGCTTTGGTGCGCCGGATCTCCGCATTTATCGCCACAACAGCCGCTCTGTTCTTCTCATTTGAGGCATTCTCCGATTTCTAGAGATACAGACCCGAAAACCAGCCAACAGAGAGATAAATTTTGAAATCAGAAAACCCTCGTCAGACCTAAATTCAAATGAAAACAACGGAACTTGAGGATGAAGAGCACCTCAATTGCAGCGTCAATGTCCGCCTCGATGCTTGAGTAGAGGCGAGCAAATGCATCGTCTCCAGAGACATTGGACTCCTTATGCTTATCAACATCATATTTGTCGTATTTTTTGCAGATTGCATCAACACGAGTGAGAATGTCGATCACGCTCATCGTGCCTGATGACCGGTAGACAGAGATAAGACACAGTTCATAGAGAGAAAGAGGTGTTGAGAATCAACAAGAATTGCAGAAAAAAAGGACAGCGATGCGTGTAAATACCTCTAATATGAAACAAAACCTAGAAAGCCAGATTCCAGTAATGGCGATTCTTGGGCCTACAAGACCTTAAATTGGGAATTAGAGGGCAATGACTGTCTCAAATTTTGGTAGCGTCCGCGCTTGTGTTCTCTCTCTTAAACATTTACCTTTTTTATTTGACCGGCCTTTGCCAATAAACTAGAGAGAGATAGAATGTTGTTTTCTACTGTCGAGAGACAAAGATGTTTTGAGCGGACAGCCTGGCTTAACGCGGAAGAGGGTAGCGGAATTAAAAAAAAGGAAAAAGTTTGCATGGAGCCAAGCTCTAAACAAATTAGAGGGTACCTAAAATATTTGAGGTTGTTTTGACGCTGATCATCTCAACGCTACGATAAAAAAAAAAAAAGGAGTTTAAGTTTTGAAAATAGTGGATCTTATAACACCGTCAATTTTTTAGATTTTTACGTTTTCATAAATCATTTTTATCTATGTTATTTTTTAATCTTTAAATATTATAATTAAAAATAAAAATATATTTTAAAGCTGTAATTTCTATTATTGAAATCACATTTTTCAATACTAGTTGAAGGTGAATTTTATTTTGATTGTTTAGAGCGTCGGCTCTATACAAACCGCACCCTTATAAAAAAAAAGGGATGATGATTAACTTAGGGGTTGTTTAGTTCGAGTGAAATTGTTTCAGGAAAATGCTTATGGAAAAAACATTTATATATGTAAATAATTATAAGAACTATTCAAATCCATTCTTTAATGGGAAAAGTTTGTATAGAGCCGATGCTCTACACAATCAAATTCGAGCCTACCTCGAAACTTTCATTAGAAGAGATTGTTTTGATGCCCAAATATCCTCAAATTCATCATTTCGACATCAAGATGCATGGATATGAGAAGAAATGGATTTTAAGTTTTGGAAATAGTATATATTGTAACACACTTTTGGACCGTCAATTTCAAGATTTTTAAGTTTTAAACTTTATAAATAAAGTAGTTTAAACTTTTAAACTATTTTTAAAGCTTTAAACTTTATAAATAAAGATAAAAATATATTTTAAGGCTATCAAAAAGATTTCCAATATTGAAACCATATTTCTCGATACTATTTGAAGGTAGGCTCTAATTTGATTGATTAGAGCGTAGGCTCTATACAAACTGCACCATTCTTTTATAATCAGTAAATACACTTAAAAATAGGTAGAGAGAGGCACCGGTCCAGTTGGACAGCCAAATTGGACCAGCTCGATAAATTAAATAATTATAAAATAAGAAAGAAAGGAAAAAAAAAATGATATTATAGAATAATAGGAAAATTTAAAAAAAAAATCATAAAATTACGCTCTTTAACAGTATTATAATTCAAGTGAAATAATAACTCAAGTACCTATTGTAAATATTCTTTACTATGTAGCCCGAATATGTAGAAATGCGGGTCTATTAATAAATTTATTTTGAGATGGATTTTTGGACTTAATTTTTAAAGACATGTAATCTCTAACATGAAGATCATGAATATAAAAAAAATAAGTAAATTTTAAAAACTAGAAATAATAATTCTAGTAAGTAAACATTTGGACCGTTAATTTCTATTGTTTTTTAGATGGAACACCTACTTGCATCCATCTTTAAGAGGGATGCTTTACACTTTTTTGATCGCATATGTAGTCCCACATGAAACAATTTTCCTTTTCTCTATCTGTTATACTCTTATTTTTGGTTGGGCCATAGGTGTTTCTCTTTCTTTTTTAACATTTTTTCCATTTGTGCATTCGACTTGGGGTATGTTTGACAAAATAGGATTTGAATATTCAAATTTAACAATGAGCAAGATTTTACCAGCCTACGTGCTCCATGTTTTAATAGTGTGAAGTTCAAAATGATGTATTAATATAAAAAGGGTATCGTTTGTATAGAACCGAGGCTCTAAACAATCAAATTAAAGCGCATCTTCAAATAATATTGAGAAATGTGGTTTCAGTAATGGAAATCTTTGTAATCGACTTAAAATATATTGTCACCTCTAGTTATAAAATTTTGAACTTCAAAAATAGTATAGAACAAGAGGATCTATGACAATTTGAAAATCTTGAAAATTGATGGCCCAAAAATACATTACAAGATGCACTATTTACAAAACGTGTAATCCTTTTTTTCTCATGTACATGCATCTTGAGGCCGAGATAATCAATTTGAGGATATTTAAGCATCTAACCAACCTCTTCTAGTGAAAATTTTTAGGTACGCTCTAATTTGATTGTTTAGAGCCTCACCCTTATATAATTTTTTTTATATAACAAAGAAAAAGTTTATATAAAGCTGAGGCTCTAAACAATCAAATTGGAGCCCACCTCAAAATTTTCAGTAGAAGAAATTGTTTTGATGCACAAATATCCTCAAATTGATCATCTCGGCATCAAGGTGAGAAAAAAAATAGATTTCAAGTTTTGGAAATAGTGCATCTTGTGAAGCATTTTTGGACCGTCAAGATTTTCAAATTTTCATAGATATGCTCGATCCACGTTATTTTTTAAGCTTCAAATTTTAATATTAAAGATGAAAATATATTTTAAAGCTATCACAAAGATTTCCAATATTGAAACCATATTTCTCAACAATATTTAAAGATGTGCTTTACTTTGATTGTTTCAAGCTTCGGCTCTATACAAACCGCACCCTACAAAACAATTCCCAAGAGAACATAAATAATGCAGTATTGAATTATTAATAAATAAATAAAATTCCAAGACATTGTAATGCAAAGAAAATATAAATAAATGAAAATTTTACTTTAAAGTTCAAAATAAGTAAATAACCAATAAAACAAAAAATATACATTTGGTTTTCTATTTTTTTAATTTTTAAGTTATATTTTGAGGTTTTTTTTTTTAGGCGACCCCTGATTGTTAGAATAAGGATTTGATGATGATGAATCTGAGGACCTTTTACAAATTGTAGAATCACTCCAAAATAACAAAAAAATAAAAGTGAAAAGGGTAAAAAAACCAAAATATAAACCTTGATTTCCTAAACTAACGAGGCAAAACAAAATCTTTTTTTATTTATTTTTGCATTTTCCATAGTAAATATTGAAGGGTGTTGTTTGTATAGAACCTAGGCTCTAAACAATCAAATTAGATCCTACATTTAAATAGTGTCGAGAAATGTGGTTTCAATACTGGAAATCTTTGTCATATCTTTGAAAAAAAATTTCATCGTTATTTATAAAGTTTAAAGCTTCAAAAATAGTGCAGATCGACATATCTATGAAAACTTGAAAATCTTAAAAATTGATGGTCAAAAAATGCATTACAAAATATATAATTTTTAAAATTTGAAATCCATTTTTTTCTCATGTCCATGCATCTTGATGTCGAGATTATCAAATTGATGTTATGGTCTTAGGATATGGATATATCAAGTTCATATTGATATACATCATTATGGATGTATGTGTATATATCTCTTGATAAGATTAGGTATCTAGAAGATAAGAAGAGACCAAGTCAAAGTTACCTGATCATCAAGTTAGTTTGGTGATAAGGCCTTCTACTATTTAGCTCTATCTCCAATAATCATATTATATTTATCTCCTGTAATTGTATGATTGTCCTCTATATATAGAGGTACTTATTGATGTAATATTCATCTAAAATAGTGAAAAATGTAGCCTGTTGGGCTTTAGATCCGTAGACGTAAGGCTTCGACCCGAACCACATAAATGTTGTGTTCTCTCTTATTCTCACTCCATTGTCGATTCAATATCTGTGCATGTATGCTCTAACGATTCTAACATATGTGGTCATCAAAACAACATCTTCTATTGAAAATTTTGAGGTAGGCTCTAATTTGATTGTTGACAGCCTCTGCTCTATATAAACTTTTCTCAATATTGAAATAAATAAGTAAAAACTGACCTGCCATTGTATCTTGATAGGAGTCTTGCCAGAATCTGGCTAAAAATCTCATTGTAAACTCGCCGGTGGAGCCTAGAGAGAGACGATCTAACAACCTTCTCTCTCTTGAGAATATAGAATGCATTTACTCCCTCCAATATAATACATGCTAGAAATACCTTTTAGATATCGCATTTTAAGGATGTAATCTTTACAAACTATAAGCTAATCTCAATTAAAAAAATAAAAAAAATAAATTGAATTAAATTCTATGTTTTAAAAATAAATAATAGTGCCCCAATATTGAAAGAGGCCCTCCAATTTTTGAAGACCTAAATCTAAGTGTCACAAAACTTAAAACTCAATTTATTATTTTTGGAAAAATTACGTACATATCCATTTATAGTTTCCGTTATTACAAAACTACCGAATACTTTCCGTTATTACCTGGATGTCCGCTTTTTGGACTTCATAACGGAATTTTTTTAAAAAAAGATAGTTTTACTCATTATCGATTGTTGAACAACCAAATTTTATTTGTTTTCGGTTGTTCAACAACCGAAAATTGCCCGATAATTTAACATTCATATTCCCATTTTCGATTGTTGAATAGCCTAAAATCAATCAAATTTGGTTTTTCAACAACCGAAATTGTCCCCGATAGCTTTATTACACAAAATGACCTTGATAGTTCATCTTCTATGTGCTCTACTTCTTTGCTCTGTGAGTGATATACATATGCTCTGTTAGTGCAAAAGAAAGCTAGGTAGTTTTCAAATTTCTTGGATTTTTAATAGTGTGCATCTTTGACAACATTTCTCGGATTTTGAAGGCATTTCACAAAGTGAAGGTATGAGGGTTGATTTTATAGATTTAGATTGTATAAGATTTTGATTTAGGGTTTATACTCAAGTACACTAATTCTTTATCATGAAATTGATTTAGTTTCAATTAATTTGTGGGTCTATTTTGATTGTATAAGATTTTTATAATTTGGGGGTTTTGAGACCTAAGAATTGTATGGTCTCTGTAGAACTCGAAATTTTTACAAGATATTGTATTATGTGTTAACTTTGATACTCTTAGATAGTTTTAAGTACAAATTTGTAATAGATTTAGTGATATCTTAGAAAAGGGTTGATTTTTGTTGTTGATAGATTGAGTAGCCTAACAATGAAAATTTGTATGTGATTTATGATTCAAGTACATATTTATTTTGAACATTTTGCAAGGTATTTCGTGACTAGATTTATTTGAATATGATTTGTGATTTATGATTTATGATTCAAGTAACAATGACTAG